AAATAAATGTGATTTTAGCCTTAAATTTAATACATAAATAAATGTCTATGAAATACCAGATCTAATATAATAGGATCCGAATCCCATTCAAAATAGATTTTATTTAAATAATTTTTGAACCCATAATAGAGGTCTCCCTTTGGTTTCAAAATATCCACTTTTACTATAAACGAGTTGTTTGTATCCTATGATTTTAAATAAAAAGTAAATTAAATACCTAGCTATTTTAACTCAATTTCTAATCACCATAACTAGAGTCCAGTATTCATTCGGTTGATTATAATAAGCAACAGATCGGAGGCATATGATGTCAGTGCACCCGTACTTAATCAGGGCTATCCTATCGTTTTCGCACAGGTCTTGAAATGTGTTTAAATTCTTGGACAATGAGATCAAATTCTGGATCTCTCTGTTGTAAAACGTGTCCATTATGGCATACATGCTCGTGTAATTGCATACCTGTGCCCGCGATTTATTGTCCGGTGTTAACATATAGTTTTGGTATACTTTACAACTGCTAATCACTTCCAATAGTTTTATACTTTCTATTTGTGTGAACACATTGTGAATGGATAACGGGCTGTGGGTTACCGTGAAATCAATTAAACTCTTGGGCCAACACTTTAAGATGTCTGTCCTCCTAGTCCTCTCCAAATATAACTTAATCTCATTAATCTCTTTATTTAACTTCTCATTAGTTGTGCTATTATTATCTAATAAATCGGTTATAAACTCATTATTGATGTCATGATTATTATGGGAAACAATGTCAAGACTAGAATTATCGCTACTTTCTGTTTGCGTTAATTCCGGTTCATTTGGCACTGAATTCTGGGTTTCTTTCTTAAGTTTGTTTAATTCAAGCATTTGTTTACGAATTTGTTTTTCATTTTCATTCAATATATTCTCCTAATAAATGCCAATTAATGTATAATTATTAAAATTAATTTATAGATATTTGAATACCTTTTTCATACCAACGGCCAGACATTTATCGAGTCGACACTTTCGGCACAATTTTCTTGTCTTTCGATTTATAATACAATTTCCATTTGTCTTACATTTCAGTGTCTTTTGTATTGAATTTAGATAAGTGTTGTAATCATAGAAATAAAAATCGATATTTGAGTAAAATTAAGACATTTTTATATAATTATTTACTTTATTCTTGAGTGCATTCCTACGAAAGAAAGGTTTGCATGATTTACAGGCCAGGGCTCCGAAATGTCGGCCTAAATATTGTAGTCATATGTTTATTGTAATTTATAATTTCTGTATTAATATATTCATATTTGAATGCTTACCAACAGCCTGGTCCCCGCAAACATCACAAAATCTGGTTGAATTTCTAATTCTCATAACTCACTAATAAATATTAATTATTAAATAAATATTATTTATCTTAATTTTATCAAATAAATTTTGTTTTTTATTTTCGCAGTTAAATGTTTATATTGTTTATTACTTGCAAATATATTTTAAGGAAAATAATTTATTTTCTTATTAAAATGTAAATAATTATAAATACATAAAAATGTCGGAATAGGTACTGTATATAGCGCACAAGTTAGTAACAAGTGTGTTTTATTTCACATCACAGGTAATTAATACTACAATCATCTCTTACTATATAATATAAAAACGATATTATGTAATCAATTTTTATTGTTTTATGATAAATTACAGGATATGCATCTAGTATTTTTAATAATTAATTATTTCTAATGACAATAATAATAAATCAATGTTAAAACTTATGTGTTCACTAATTCATAATTTTAAGTTAATAAAATTGGTGCTCTTGGTTCTCACAAATGTTATATGTTAATAAAATACACCTTGTTCATTTACTGTAGCAATTACGATAATTTTTTATATTTCTAGAAATGTACGGTGCGTTATTAATATGTACCATATTAAATACATAGATAAATTTGTTTTCAGTTGCTGTAAATTGCTAATCACAGTTCAATATACACTTTGTGTGGGTATTGTAAGTACAGTGCATTCAAATTTAGTACACACTAATCAGCTATCATTTGAACACAGATATAGCTGCAAGAGCAATTTATTTAACATGTGATGTACTTTAAGATAAGATTTGCTTTGGTACAAACGAAGTAAATTTCATCCATGCACTTCACGCCAATTCTAACCATTAAGTGCTTGTGAACCCATTTGAATAACAAATAGCTTAGCAATTTATTAACAAAAAAGTTTTATTGGAATATGTTTAATATTATAAATGTATACAGGTGCAATAAAATAGCATATAATACAATACATTAACAAACCACACTTTACATACATTATAAAATTAATAATAAATAATATTCTGTAAATTGTGAGCACAACAAACCACTCAACCTTTCATATCAAACAACTCCCTAATGAGTGGTCCGTATTCTTGCGGATTCTCTGCGACACTGTTTCTCATCTCTGTTTGACTCAAAAACTCTACATTTCTTATAATATTTGCATTTCTCGCCAATTGTTCTCTCGCTTCACATTCAGACCGATATTTCAATTGCAAATAGCGGCGAAGTAAATGCATATAAATTTGTTGCGCATACCTTCACACAATTGATTGCAAACATTTAATATTTCAAACTTTATAACACTTCGAGACATTTACTAACTTTACAGAATCCTTGTGCATAAGGTTTGGACGGTTCGGGTTAAATAGTAACATAGCTGTCAACTGTAGTATTAAAAGCATGTTTGAAATTTTTATAATTATTATATTTGCAATAATTTATTTAAGAAATATTTTAATTACCAGATCAATGACAACAGGGTCTGAATCCCAATCGTGGGCTATTTTGTGCATAAAATTGAGATACGGACTATAGATATCTGATTTAAACACTTGTAATGAATCCAACTTTAAGTGAGAAGAGTTGTTATCCTTTTAATTTGAATCAAATAACTAGAGATTTATTATTTTAAAACATTTATTCATTAAACTTACGGATAGAGCAAAGGATTGACTGCGAAAGTCATAAAACAAAACGGACCGGATGTTTATGACATCCAGACAGCCGTACTTCACGAGTGAGATCTGATCGTTGCCACAGAAGTCCTTAAACTTAAACTTACGGATAGAGCAAAGGATTGACTGCGAAAGTCATAAAACAAAACGGACCGGATGTTTATGACATCCAGACAGCCGTACTTCACGAGTGAGATCTGATCGTTGCCACAGAAGTCCTTAAACTCAGACAAACTCTTCACTCCATTCACTAAATGGTTGAGAGAATCGGTAAACAAGAGAACCAACGCTTGCTTCACATCTTCGGTGCCAATCATTTCGGTGATTGTCTTATCCAATGGTCGCCTCAGACCTCGACTGAAGTCCAATAATTCACTCAATTTATTGGCCTCTAATTCAGTTAATTGGTTGCTGTAATCAGCGATAGGTCTGTCCACTGAATGGTTAGCCACTAATTTATGAGCAGTTTTATTGTAAAAGTTCTCATAAAACCTCTTCATTTGTGTATTAATATTATGACAACTCGTGTCAAAATCGGTGATCATTTTGAATACCATTTCGCCGCAAATGTTTGCACCAAAACCTCGTCCCTTGTTTTCATCGCACATCTCATTAACTATGGGTTTAATACTTGTTTGTAAACTAATGTCTGATTTATGATGACAACTATTTTCGCTCAGAGTATCATTGGATTCATTTGAATCAACACGTGTCAGGCCATGAGAGCGCCTGTCGTTCAGACGCTCGGATCGTCTCCTGCGGTCAGAGTTGACGCGTCGGAAGCGTTTAATTCTCTCATCAATTATCCAATCCTATCACCAATTCTTACTTTAATTAAGTTTTTAAGATATAAGTGCTATCATTGAATACCTTTCTCATACCCAGAGCATAGCACTTCTCTAAACGACATTTAATACAACCTCTATTCTCGTAAGTGATCTCACATTTGCCATTTGATAAGCACGTGAATATCTGCTCAAATTAAGTCATTTCATTTAATACTTAATTGATTCTCATTTAATGCTATTTATAATGAAATATACTTTCGTTTTGATGGCATTTCGTCTGAAGAATGTTTTGCACGAATTGCACGAAAGTGTACCGAAATTATTGCCTAAAAACACATAAAATTTATTGAAAACCAGTTATTTATAATTAAAATCCCGCCTATATTGTATAACTAATATTTTAATTAAAGTTTATACCAAAAAACACCAGTAAATTAAAATGTAAACTTATTCTTACCGTAAGCTATATCTTCACAAATGACACAAACCTTAGACATTGTGTTCACTATAATTACCAAACAAATCACAACTTCTATAACTAACTCAAAGTTAGTGTCATTTAAATACTCACTTCAATACAACAATATATTTAGCCATAAATAGGGGCACAGGGGGTGAGGGGGAGTACCAATGCTCTGAATCCTAATTGATCATACAGTGGTGACAATATTATGAGTATATTCGCGGTATACTTGTCTACACAACCACTACCTGTGAGTCCCATTAGGAATGAAAGGCTCATTGATTGTAGATATGGTTTATTACGCCAATTCCTGGTATTATATGCAATGTTATCGCATATAACTTAATGTGACAATTGATGACATGTGCACTTACATGCACTCTCATTTTATTTGCTTATAAAACAGCACTAAATACACAGAACTTTGCCCACCGATTAGCAAGGTACACGCGTACCACAGGTAAGGTGTAGATGAACCAGCACACATTTTAGACAATTATACCCGCAATCACGAGTACAGTAATTATGGTAATATAACTACAGTATATAATTACAGTATATCTAAACATCAATACAATTAGAAATACATAAAAAATATGATATTTATGTCAGTGAATAGCCATTGGACGGCGACATGAAGTACGGGTGCGAGGGGTCAATGAGAGTACACGTGTGACCGTCCGCACCGTCTGTCCCCTCACTCGTGTGGGACCGGAAGGCCTGTCTCCTCGTCCACCACTACATCCACATACATGTCGTCCTCGTGTGACCGGTGGTGCGCCTCCAAGTCAGTGCCCCTCAGACCACGTGACCCACAAAAACGGCAACGATATCGGCGTCCACTCGGCTCACGAGTGGCCGATGAGGTCGAGTCCGACCCACTCTTCAGCTTCTTTCGCTCCAAATGGCTATAAGTGATGCCAATATCAATGCATTGACAGCAGTGGTAAGTCATATGACATCAACGCTTGGCATCAATTCATTGCAAATCATATCCTCGCGGATCACGTACTCAGACGTCTTGGGGAGTCGTTGTTGGTGTTGATCCACACGTGTGTCACCACTGGAACCGCTGGACGACTGGTCGCACGCGATGGACAGCCGCTTGAGGTGTCGTGTGATAAGTGACTGTCTGTACAGCGAATGAGTGGTCCGTGTCTTGCCTTTCATTGTCTTACAACTCATCCCAACGTGTGATGGACTCGAGTGTCAACTCATGGCTATGAGTGACAGTCCACTCAATCATACGGTTTGTGGCAAACAATCACTCATTCATTCATTTCATTCATATTTCGAGTCATTGTTTGGCAAATAGTCTCCAAAATGAGACGTTATTTACGAATCCATGATTTGGTTGTCATTTATGAACGCAAAACAAAACACAGATTCTTATGAATTGTTGTGCGAATCGAACGCTGACTCTAACTGTAATCGTGCGGCGAGTCTACAGTCGACTCGCGATATAATGGACTCATCGGTGAACACAAACAGTGACTGTTTAGTGAGTGACTCGTCGGACGAGTGGACGCCTGGAGTGTCGACTGACTCGCAGTTGTCGTCAGTATTGTTGCCATTCGTGAGAGCATTGGACGCATCGCTCGAGTCGTGTCTCTCATCACAGCAACGATTGTATTATGGGTTCAAAAATTATTTAAATAAAATCTATTTTGAATGGGATTCGGATCCTATTATATTAGATCTGGTATTTCATAGACATTTATTTATGTATTAAATTTAAGGCTAAAATCACATTTATTTTATTTCAAAAATAGTTAACAGCTATCGTACTATTTAACCCTGGTCGACAAAATCTAATTAAACGAGATGTCATAAAGTAAGTAATATTAACAGTATATAAATGATATATTTTTATGTTTTACTAGAATTGTAATAAAATTTAATTGATTGATAGGCTCCAGCAGAATATCTACTTGTATTTACTTCAGCGTTATTTACTATACAAACATCAGGTCCAATGTACAGCTAAATTGAAATTCTTAAAAATTGTGAACACTTTGCAAGACATCTATAATTTGGGTGAAATACAGATGAAGAATAATATCCGAGAAAATGCCGACAATTTCGGACCACTTGTCACTGAGATATTTGATATGAAATCACATAATTGAGTTTATTATTGTTTATTCATTTATTATATTATTTATATGCGTAATGTAGTACAGTATATAAATATATTTAGTGATATTATGTACTAGTATTATAAATAATTGTACCTGAAAATAAAATTCTCAAAGAAAATATTCTTGTTGATTATTCATGTTTTCATTTAAATTCTTATATACCTATAATCAAAATACATTAATTTTTGATAACCTCTGTAAGGAATAATAGTTAATTTATTAATATACTATTGATTTCCCATTTTTCTAATTTAAATTTAAAATAAAATTGTCAAGGAAATATTGTTGATTTTATAATTATATTTTTAATAATCTAATTTGTGGTAAATAAATTGGATATAGTAGTGTGTTATATTTGTACAGCACATACAAATTTATTTTGATATAAAACAGATCTGTTGAAAAAGTAATTGGTTTTAATCAGGATATCAATTACTATGATAGTGTGACAGTGATATAATTTACAGTATTAAAATTGATGATTTTGTTTGTGTATTTTATACAACGTTAGTATATTGAAATCCTTTAGCAATTATAAAGTCACATTTTGAAAACACTTAAAATTAATAACATCTAGTAATGTATTAAATTGCTAAACATATTTACTAAAATAATGGATAACACGAATGAAATACAATTTTGTGCCGTTTGTGGGGATATAGCAGTTGGTAAGTAAATAGAGTTTTAAATAAATGATAAATATTATTATAAATTATAATAAAATCACAAATATTAAGGCAAACACTTCGGAGCCCTGACCTGCAAGTCATGCAAACCATTCTTCCGTCGAAATGCATACAGACATCAAGTAATTTGAGATATATTTCTACAAATAACTTATGAATAGTTATATGACTTATTTGTTTAATAGGATTTTCGGTGTAAATTCAATGAGAATTGTGTTATTAGTCGTGCGACAAGAAAGTGGTGCCGAAGGTGTCGCCTGAATAAGTGTCTGTCCGTTGGTATGAAAAAAGTGAGTATAAAATGTTGTATACAAGTTATTATTACAAGTTATTGTTACAAGGAACTTTTATTTTGTTCATAATTTTGCTTTTTATTTCATATGTAGGAAAGAATTCAAAGCGAAACTCATAGGAAATATGTACAAAATATTATTGCAAGAAATGATACAAATATGCAAATTTTGGATTTAAATGTTAATTCTGTAAATTCAGAAAATTCAGACAATTATATAAATATTAATGAATTTATGTTAGAAATATGCGAACACAATAGCAATGAGTTAAGTATTGACGAAAATAATCGATACAATTATTTTGATAATAACAATAATACTGAAGATATAGATAACTATTTTTTGAACGAATTGTTTGACAATAATATTAGTGACGAAGAGATTATAGATACAAATGAGATGAAAGATATAGAGATATACGCAAAACACAATGAAAATACAGATCAACAATCAGTGGTACCGATGGTCAGACCCATGCTATTCCCCGAATGGGACGACACAAGACTTTTAGAGCTTATAAACGGAGCTAAAGTCTACTTATATGCTAACTCTTTGACACCTGTGGTCCGAATGACTGATTTGTTGCAATGGTATGCAATCATCGATTGGTTCTACAGTAAGGATATCCTCAAACTGATAGCTATGTCCAAGAATTTGAGTGCATTTGACAGTATGTGCGACAACGACAAGATAGCACTCGTTAAGTATGGCTGGTTTGAGATCCTATGCCTCCGTTCACTCACTTATTATTGCCGATCGGGAACACACGATATATGGAATATATATATCGAGGTAATAGCCCGTATAACATTTTCATAAATAATATTGCATTACATTTACCAATATACATATTTTCTATAGGAAACGAATAGGTCATATGCGCTAATTATTGATCTGTTTAAAAATAAAAGCACTATTTATAACGCTTATAAAACACATTTTAAAAGAATATTCGATGAATGGGATTCTGATTATATTGTACTGGACCTGGTATTTAATACTTAAATTATTTGCAATTTGAAATTATTATTAATCTATTTAATTAATCCATAGTTAACCGCTATAGTACTGTTTAATCCAAATCAAAAATATCTCATTAATAGCGAGGTGGTCAAGTGAGTGAACATGTTAGATTACATTTTAGACTAATTAATTAATTAAATTCTATATTTATTACAGAATTCAACAGAATATTTATATGAATTCACTTCAACGCTATTTGCAGCATAAATATAAGACGGAAAGTGTGGCAAAATTAAAGTTTATAAAACTCATGAATATATTAAACGATATGCACATTATATCTCAAATTGAATTCATGGAGACCTACAACGAGCGGCATATTATTAATTTTGGGTCACTTTGTATGGAAATGCTTCAATTATAATAGTTTGATATAATTTTGTTAGATAAAAATTATTATTGAATAATTTAGGTATTTATAACAAAAAATGTTTATGGCAAATAATTAGTTACCAAGACACTTTTGAGCACATTTGAATATTTTAGTATACAAAGCTTTTAGACATTTTGATTGAACGGACTAATTTATAAGTTAAGTTTTTAGTATAACGGGGTTAAGTTTTGATAATTTTGATTATACAATTCATACAATTTTATAATTTTTTACAATATTTATGTAGATAACTTACTATATAACAAAACAATTATGTCATTTTTGCTTTAATATAAGTCAATGGTTTGGGTCATATCGAAGTTAATATTTTTGTTTTAATTTATGGTCACTTATACATATTATAATATAATTTTTAGCAGATATTAACAGAATATTTATATGAATTCACTTTAACGTTATTTACAGAATAAATAGAAATTTGTATGAAACGCAAAATTAAAGTGTACTGTATAAAGGCCAGTGCATGTATCCACAAATTCAACATCAGATATTGAATGCATGAATTTAGAAAACGACATTCACTAAATATCTTATGTTGAATTCGTGGACACATGCAATAACCGGGATATTATTACTTTAGGACCACTATGTAGAAAAATGTTTGTAATCAAAATTATTTACTAAAGAAAAATGTGCATTACATATTTAAGTGTTATATTTTAAATAATGTGTTTATTGAAGTTTTCATTTTTAAAAATGTAATACTGTAAGTTACTGAACTATTAAAATCAATTAATAAGTCATTATGATTTTGAGTTTGATTAAACAAATCATGCAATTCTGTAATTATGCTTACATTATATTTTATATCCTACAATATGCAAACAATTTCTATGTAATTTAAACAAATAATAAAATTTATATAATAAACTCATAATAAAGAGACACAAAGACATCATAAAAGTTTGCATTTAAAAATAGCATAATTGTAATGGGCATTTGAATTGCAATAAATTTTAAGTTATAAAACACATACATTTATCTGATGAGATAAATAATGTATGAGATATAAAACTGGTATAACTGCTCATTAATATTTTGAAGACATTTTGACAATATTAAGTATATCTTTACTACTAGTAATCCATGTTATATAAATTAATCGCTAAGTTTTAATATAAACTGAATAATGTATAAATATGGTCCAAATAATCAATACACTGTGGAGATATATATTATCAATAAATATTTGTGCAAAATAAGTTTAGAATAATTTATTATAAATAGTGTTGCATTAGTTTAATACTTTACAGGAAATACATATTTGCTGTACCTTGTTAATAATTTCTTAAATTGTCAATAGTATGGGTGATAATATTGAGGTGTGTGCTGTTTGCGGGGATATATCTATTGGTAAGTTTATTGTTTTATTTTAAATAATATCCAATTAAATTTAGGCACAATACTAAATACTAGGCAAACATTTTGGAGCCTTGGCCTGTAAGTCATGTAAACCATTTTTTCGAAGAAATGCCCTTAAGAATAAGGTATAAACCTTGGTAATTTTGTTTAACTTTTTGATAATGAATTGTTTACAAACATATTAGGTATTCAAATGTAAAACTAATGGGAATTGTGTTATTAATCGAGAGACAAGAAAGTATTGCCGGAAATGTAGGCTAAATAAATGTGTGGCCGTCGGCATGAGAAAGGTGATTTGAATATTATGTAATTCGGTGGACACTAATATTATTAATTAATAAACTAATTTATTATAATTAGGAAAGTATTTTGAATGACGAGGAGAAACAATATCGCAGACAATTGATCGAAGAAAATAGGAAAAAGAGACTATATTTGAGAAATAATAAAAACAAACAAAATATGAATGCATTTGAAGAGAATATTGACACAGAATTGGATGAACAGAATATTTGTAATAATAACTCGTCTAATGATGACTGCATTGGCTCTCATCAAATAGATAGCAATGAATTCATTGACGAATTAGTCGATTGTAATAATACTTGCGATGAAAACAATATTAATGAGAATGATTGCAGTGATGATAATAATGGTGAAGAAACTGAATCAATTGATTCAAACACCAATTCAATTGAGTCAGCTCTACCATTGGTGGTGATGGGCAGTCCCACGTCAAACATATTCACCGATATGGAGGGCATAAGACTTTTAGAGCTGTTCCGGAGTTCAGGAGCATTTCAACGTATTCTGGTACCACTATCAGAGATAACCACACAAATTGACAATTATCCACAATTGTATCCAATCTTGGACAAATTCTTTGATAAAGAGATACGAAATTGCATAACGCTCTCAAAGAATTTGAGTACTTTTGAAGTGATGTGTGAGAATGACAGGTTATCCCTGGTCAAGTATGGGTGCGTCGACATCATGTGCTTACGGTCAGCCGCCTATTATCATAGACTCAATGAATACTGGACTATATTTTTGGTAATTTATATTCCCTATTAATTTAAAGCTATTGTTGTTTCAGAGTTTTGGTAAAAGTTTGTTAACGCATAAACATAATTATATGTTGAACTATAGGATCAGAATCACTCATTTCTAATTAAACTGGATGTAATGAAATATGTGAAGATTGATATGTATTACGTCTATAAAACACATTTCACCAGAATTTGCAGCGAATGCGATTCGGACCTGGTTATTTTAGACT